TTCTATCCTAACTAAAACCAGGACAACCCCAAATCCAACAGTTTTTTGGGGTTTTTTTACGTTGATTACTGAGGGAATGTGCTGCAAAAAAGTGCCCAGGCCCAGGTACTTTCAGGGTTGCTCCTATTGTCACTGCTGGTGACCCAGCATTTGGTGTGGATGGTCCCAGCAGTGGCACCCAGCCAGGATGTTCTTCTCTTCTTGTATTCCACATTTTCAGTAAGGTCTGGTCAATCCCTACAGTACTAAAAGCAGCTCAGTAGAGCTGGCACCCCAGTGCAGGGTGGGCTGAGTACCAGATTAAGGGGTTTTAAAAGTGGAGAGAATAGTAGTTGTTCATCTTCACAGGTTTCCTGGGCACAGTCTAAAGTTTTCTCATGTTACCTTTATTTTATAGAGGTGAGAACACGCCTTTTACTTGTGTGTGAAAGTCATGAAATGACAGTGAGTAGTCACTTTTCAGAAGTCTCTTCTCAGACAGTGACAGCCCCTTCTGTGGAGCTTTTTAAAATACAGAATAAACTGTGAATTAGCAAAGACACACTTCTGTCTGAGTCACCAGCCCAGTCCAAATGACATCTCAAAGCTGTGCTGTGCTGGAAAGTCTCATAACTGTGGAAGCCAATTTGAAAAGTATACTGATTCTTAATAAATAAAAAAGAGTGACTCCAGCAGAAGGGAGCTGGGCTGGCACAAGACTCCTTCCCTCTTGGTATCAAAGCCAACTTACGATGTCAAATGCTTTGACTGCCTATGGGGTGCCAATACTGCCAATACTGTAGGAGGTAAAAGCAAGTATGCATTGAGGGCACAATAATATGGAGGACTAAGCTACAGTCTTTTTGTAAGACATTCAAAACTAATCCACAAGCCTGCAAAAAAGGACAAAAACCCCCAGGGTTTATAATGAGAAATATGTGTTCCAGGCTTAGGGATCTAATGTGCCTCGCTTTTCCACCATAAGGATTTTTTTGTGAGATTTCTGGAACATGAAGTCAGATGCTGCTGCCAACTCTGCAGCCACAGGGGGCTCTCAAGTCATGAAAAACAGCTCTTTATTCCCTTAACTTATTTGGATTTATAGGATTACTGTGCTGAGGACTAGCTCTATGCTAAGCACCCTCCCACATTTCAACTGGCTCTTGAGAGAGCACTCAGCAGTTGTTTTTTCCCACTAAAACAGGTATCCTGAGAGCATCACAACTGGAAGACTTCGTGCTCAAGTGGTCTCTCAGTGTGTCACCCCAGCACCTCCATTCACACTCCTCTGTGCAGGGTGAACTGAGGGATTTCACGGTTTATCGACAAGATGGTGAGATCCATACTCAGGCAGGAAAAAAGCCAGGATTGCTTTGCACAATCATGCTCCATCTTAGAAAATATTTATCTGGCAAAAGTAGTGTTTCTTATAGCCTTAAAGGTAAAAAAAAGTCTCTCTAAACCTGAGTTGCTCAGGGAGACTCACTGGCAACCTGTGCAGCCCAGATCACTGCCAGAGACCACTCTGGAAACCTGGAACCTTTTGAACCTCTGGAGCAGACCTTGGTTATAAACAAACCACTGATCTTGTCTCTTCAGCTTCCATCTGTCATTGAAGCTTCTACTGTTGTAGATCTCTCCTCTGGTGACCAGTGACAGAACCCGAGGCCTGAAGTTGTGTCAGGGGACTTGAAGTTAGATATCAGGATATCAGATATCAGAGGGTGGCTGGGTGCTGGAACAGGCTCCCCAGGACGGTGTCACAGTACCAGCCTGATAGAGATCAACAAGCATTTGGACAAAGCTGTGCAGGGCCAGGAGTTGGGCTCAATGATCCTGATGGGTCCCTTCCAACTCAGCATATTCTGTGATTCTGTGCTTCTGTGATCTTTGTTGCTACACTGATACACACTACAGATGGTTCATACATCTGAGCCAGATTCTGTCTCATTTAATTATTTTTTTTCTCTAAACTTTTTCTCCTTCATTTCCTATTCCTCCAAACTGATGCACTTTCGTTCCCGTTCTGTTTGCAGCTTTTATGCGTCACATTCTGCTCTTATTACAGTAGTAAAAATCTGGTGGGTTTGGCGTGACACCAGTGTAGCTGGTCAGAAGTGCTGTTCTGGCAGCTGAGCTGGGCTTTTGGGGTTACAGCCACCCCAAGGCTGGATCTTTGGGTGGGTGCTCCTGCCCCTGCAGCGGTGCTGCGTTGGAGCTGCTGGCAGGGTTACACACTCAGTGACTCCCTGAAGTCAGAGAACAAAACTCAAATCTGCATGTTCAGCGACGCCTGCAGATCTTGGAGAGGCAGTAACACTGAGGGGGAGGTGGTGAGCAGAGTTCCAACAGTAACCTCTTACCTAACAGCAGCAAATCTGGCTGTAGCCCACACTGCTGTTCTCCATTCTTTCTGCTTCTATTGTTTGTCAATTTATTTCCCTTATTTCCTAAAAAAATATAAAGTCTGAGCATCTCTTTATTTCTGCTTCTTTTCCTCAGAAATGTAGCCAGATAAATGGGGCTACTGAGAGGGAAATAAGGAGAAGTGCTTTCACATATAGTTATATTATATAGTTATATTTCTGCTTCTATTCATATTGGAGATGGTTTACTGTGACTCCCACCTTCAGTTCTCTTTCCTTTTAACTCCCTGTTAAGATTTTCTTTATTCTGCAAGCCAGTAGTATACCAAAGGTTATACTGAGTTCACTGTAGGATAGACACCTCAGTTAAATCTCGTGGTTTCTCCTAGTAAATCAGAAATAAGCACATTTTCATTCCCTTGAGATTACACTGTCAGATCACAGATATTCAAACCAACTACTATTAGCTGATTAGAATCTGAGCAACTACAACAGCTTTGCCTAAAGAGCCCCCCCCCACACTTAAAACCCACTTAAAAGCTTTTATTAATTACAAAAATACTTAAATGATTTAACAGATGAAAATAGTAACAAGTACCGAAAGACCAGATGATGCTTTCAGTTATATCACATAATTGAGTTTAAAAAATGGAGAAGAGCCAATTCTATAAAGCAGGAGTAAAGCAGGCTGGTAACATTATGGCTCAGATGGAAGAATGGCTTTCATTAATCCTACTTTTCTGCAGAGTCCTGTTTTTTCTGCTGCTAGCCTTAAGTGCCTAATTGTTCAACACGGTTTCCTGACAGATTCAGCTTTCCCTTATTCCCATGGGTACTTCCAGGGCTCTTTACACAGAAAAATAACAGTTTACCAAGCTATGCAACATTCATGAACTTTCAACATTACTTTTCATTACACCCTTTTATTAAATGACATTCCCAATACGTGGTGGCTGGAATAAAATAATTCAGAGCCCGTAAGTATTGACAATGAGCCTTCCATGACTCTGTACTCAGGAGCCTTCCGCTCCTGGTCGTACCTAACCAGAGCAAATAGCAGTGGAAAATAAAAGCCTCTTCATATTTTTTGCAAAAGAAGAAGGAAGAGCAGCAGGGTAACCTGTAATGCCTACATTAATTTGCAGGGCACAATGATATAGTGAGTAGGCAGGGCTTACCACAATTATCTGTTCCTACCTTTTCACTGCTCTTTGCAGGGATGGTTGTCGCTAGCTATGCTGGGACCATGGATTCAGGAATAAATATGAAATGAAGTTGCATACAGGAGTTCACACTCCTTGGAGCATATTTCAGGCTCTCAAGCATATCACATTGCATCAGTCTCTCTAGAGCTCTTGTTTCAGGCCCTCAGGCAGATGACATTGCATCAATTTCATATTTTAAAGCTTAAAGCTTTCTGTAAGGGCAAGAAACTTGCCATTTCTTTTTCATGAAAATGCAGAATGTGATGTAATTGTATGGCACTGTGAGATGGAGCCCAAAATAACTGCATTATACTGCTTTGACCATAAAATTACTGAAGGATTTACAGTATTCCCTAAAAGTTCCTATAGAGGAACAGCTCTACCAGTGCAAGAGCCAACAGGACTGTAAGTCATTTAAACAGTGCAGGGACTGCAAAAACTGGGTAGTGTCTCCTGTGAGCATCCCACTGTATCAGCTTAGATGCTCCAGAAGTTTTTCAAGGAACCCCAGACTGGAAGCCATGGGATGGTCCCTTCTTCACAGGGGATATTTCTTAGGGATCCTGGATGGCCTTTGTCCTTTCACACTCTGTGACAACATTGAGAATAGAAGAAGAGCCACACCATTCTAGAGAGCCCAAGCCTTCCTTTGCACTATACCTATGGAAACTTGGAATGCCTGGATGGTATTCTGGGCACACCCAGCAGTGGGGAGAGTTCAAGATGTCTGGCATGTTCAGTGAAGCAAGAGATGAAAGGTTTCCAGGAACATAATGTTTGCTCTCCTTTGTCTTTGTGTGATGCTGACAAACGCAGGCCCCCATCAAGGAAGCACTCGCCAAAGTGTGGGTTTTAATTTTTCTATTTAGAAAGACTCTCTGGTTCTTTCAGATTCCAGCCTGCTATTAATGAGTGATGACAGCTTGACTTCACCAAAACTGATGTTCAGATTCTTAAACTATTACCTTTATTTTACTCTGCTTTGCACAGAGTAATTTCAGTTTAATTATTTCCGTTAAACAGAAACCCTCTGACATGGGTTAAAGAAATTATAATGGGTAATATGTAAAACACAAGGTAGATTCATCATCACCTAAAAAAATAAATATCAATTTTATGGGTGGGAAAAGTAACTTGCTTTAATATTTTGCCAGACAGGTCTAATTCTCTTAATACTTCACTTCTATAGAATAAGCTTTGAAATAATTATAGTTCTCTATAGTAAATATCTGATGTTTGTTTCTATTTTATTATTTGCTAAGAAGGAATTACTTGTTAGGTCTTCTAATATTTTAGTTCATAATATGGTTCAGACTGTATTTTCTGTAAGGGTGCTGCACAACTTGTGCCAAAATAATTTGGAGATAGAGCTGGTAACCAATCTTTGTGTCAGACAGAGCAAATAAATGTAGTTAACACATGAAAATTACTTACACAATGAGCCCAAACATGTTTTTTAAGGATTGCATTTTATACTCACAGGAAATTCTTGAAGCAAGTATTTTTTAGCTTTTAGGTAGCTTCCACTGGACAGAGAGAATCCCTTGCTCTTCAGATTTTCTAGGCCTGGCTTGTGTTCCCTGAAGAGAATTTTAATAAATAACAACACAATAAAGCAGAATTTGCTGGTTAAATACAATGAGATGTATCCCAGGAACAAATCTCATGCACACAAAAAAATTGAGCACCAGCAAATAGCAAATCTGAAAATGCTCTCTGAGAGTTGTTAATATGAATTTCTAAATTGAGAGAATATGATTGCATGCATCTGATACCTCTTAGTCCCTAATTGCATTCAATTAAATCAGTTGTTCAGGAGCTTGCTATCCCTTCTCAGATTCTCAGACAGCTGCTGCATGAGTTCAGATAGGTCTGAGTTCGTAAGTAATTTATCAGGGTTAGTCTCACGCTTGTCAAAAGCGTCAAAACGTATAAAAATATTCTGGTAGATAATTTCTAGCAGTAGAAAGCTTTTCCCTCTCTAAAACCTGTGTGATGGTCATGAATACCTGCTGTAGTTCTGTGACTATTGGTGCTGCATTTTCTTGTCTTGCCCAGCTGGGTCTTTTTCCAGTCTCTAAGTAGACTGAGATTCAGGAGAAAAAATATTTCCAGAGGCACTGGGAAAAAAGCTCCCATTTTCTCAAGAAACAAGGTCTATGTTATGAAAACTGAGCAGGGAGCTAGAGCCATGAGCACTCCCTCAGCCTTTGTTTATAATATTTCCAGTGTTAAGGGTGGAAGTTCTGCAAGCAGAGCAGGAGAAGATCGATTTTGAAATACAGTATGAGATGGTGCCCTTTGGACACAGCAGATAAAAAAAGGGGATTTTATTCTCTCGTGAGACAGCAACTCTGTTTAGATCTGGAAATCCTGCACCTTCACCCAACTTTCTGCTCTTGGTTGGGATGGTGGATATCCATATTGTGCCCTAGGGTGGAGGTGGGGACATGGCTGTACCAAAGAGTTCTGCATCTCTTTGGGATCTCACAGTCACAGACTGTGCACTTGTTACCATTTTTCTGAACAATTTTTGTCTCCCTGCAATAAATCTGTGATTTTCAGGGAAATCTAGTTTTACTTTACCTAAATAATTTATTTCCCCATAAACTTGCAGAGTTAAGCTACATTCCCCCACCACCACTGATTTTCAGTGTTCTTGTATTTTTCACTCTGATTATTTCAGGTTTTTTCATCACCCAGTGTTTTAAAGCACCAGTAGTAATATTGTTGGTCTAGGAGGGTAATAAGGCTCAAAACCAGGTTTTATCAGGTAGACATGGAAAACCAGGTCATCTTTTAGCCAATAAAAACTGGCCAAGGGTTTTAATGAAATAATACTTTAGATTTCCTTTGAGAACACCGTATGACTTCAAACAAGTTATGGTTTTGGTCACTCATGAATTTGAACAGGATAAAGAGGCTTGAGCCATCCTACACAGTAACACCTGTCATCCCAAAGGTTCATTTTCCACTGCAGGATGATAATTATCCTTTTTCTCCTCTATGTTCACTCCCTATTATCTGGCATCACTTTACCACAATTCTATCCTCTTTGCTAGATACTCTTCCTCCTGTACACTAAAAATAAGCTCAGTCCCTATACTTGATTTTCTTTTCCTTCTTAACCTGATAAAAGTATGTTCAATGTCTGCAATAAATTAATTTTTACAAAATATTATTTTAGCTCTACATTTTCAAAATTATGTTCATAAATGTGCTTCTCTTTCTGCTTCATTTCTCTTGCCCTTATTCTCTCCCCAGATCTGAGGTCAGTGTGTTTCCACAGAATGCCTTGATCTCTCTGCCCACAGATAATGCACCACTGCAATTCAGCAGCTCCCAACATTTACATTTAGAAATCACAAACACTCAGGGATACAGAATGGCTTTCAGCAAGAGAAATACCACCAGAAATTGTCGACTTTTGTCTACAAAAGAGATAGAACACCAATTTAAATGCCTCATGCGCTCTTGTATCCATTGTGCCTCAGCCCTGACCTTACAGACTGGAGTTTGCAGCTAATGGACCTCATGATAGCTTTTGATTTTCCCAGGGTGTCTGGAGGTGGCTAGCTCATGGCCCATGCCAGGAAACATCAATCTCCCAGCCTTTACAAGGCCTAATGGATCACAGACACCTGACTTCCAGCTGTAGGAATATGATATTTTAAACTGCTGCCTTTCTTGTCCTTTCAGATTCTTATCCCGCTCAGTTGAATGTCTGTCCAATTAATCCACAAAACACAGAGGATGAAAAATGATTACTTTTGCTCCTGCTTGTTTTGCAGAATCAAGTCCATTTGTCTTATGTTTCAGGTTCTGGACAGTTTAATGAAGTGTTGACATGTACTAATGACAGGCAGGGAACTGCAGCACTCCTGTTTGCAGGGTTACTGTCTCCTCATACTGAACTGGGGACATCAGCATCCTGTAACAAAGACTTGAAACTATCACAGGCAAAATACAGAACATTTTGAAGTGGACTCTTCAGAGTTTTTGAACGGTGAGAAAAATGGAATTAATATTCTACTGGGATTTTTCACATTTTTACCATTATGTGCTGAAAAGCAGCAAGGAGTATATGGGACAGGAGATATCCACAGTAACTTACAGAAAAGAGAAAAAGCATCATTTGAAGTCCTGAGGTTTTCTCAGTCCAGTTCCAGTATTCCAGCCAGTTTGTTGAGTTTTTACATCCGTGGTGTCACAATAGCTATGATGAAAACAATTTATAAAATATGAGGCATACTTACAAAAAGAAGTAGCTGAATGGGCTAAATTATGCTCCTTCTCCAGATGCCATACACCAATCCCAACCTTGTATAAACTTGTTGACACACAGAAGTTCAGGTTGGTTTTGAATCAATGCCAGAAAATCTAGATTTTGACCAGTCATAAATTTTTTTACTAAATTATCAGTCAAATAGAAGAACTTGTTTTTCAGAGGCAATTTAATGTAAAAATTTCATTTTGCTACAGTTTGCTCTTAAATTTTGCTGAAGTGAAACATAGCCTGGCAGGAATTATTTGCATAGCAGGTAACATGGGTTTGTATTGTGAATCAGAAGTTAGTAGGGGATCTCTTTTGCTAACCTTTTAAGAAGCTCTCCAAAGAGATTTTCTCTGCATGGAATGGCCCATAGGAAGCAGCTTGCTTTTAGCAGAACTGTGCTTTGCCAGCAAAGTGTTGTGCTGCAATCACAGCTCTTGGATTAAGCAAGAGGACAGATTTAAAGCTCTGAGTCACATGAAGAGGGCCACGTCCCTGCACACTTTTTTCTGGCCACTTGTATTTGTGAAGAGTACAAACTACAGTAGCCTTACCCCAAAAGATTGTGTGGGACTCACTCAGGATTGCCAGGCACTTTGCTATTCTTCATAAATTGAAAAATGTTTTAAACTCCAACAGAGACCATCATCAGCAGTCACTTGTGGACACCCACACTCTTACCAGAAACACTGCTGTACTTTGCAAGGCAGGAGACAGCACGTACTCTCCTCCCATTCTGCTGCCAGAAGCAGTCTTTCCTTACCTTCCCACTCTGGTTACCAGACCAAGGCAGAGACCTGCAAGGTGGAGGACTTAAAATAACCAGGAGAAATAAGATACTCCTAAACTGCATCTGCTCTACCAGGCCTACCCCCTGAGGAGTCAGAAGTCAGCTAGTTAGACACTGCAAGTGATGCTTTAGAAAGCATGAAAAGTTCTTCCTTAAGCATTATTGCCGCTGGGATGGAGTGATTCATCTTCCCCAAAGTTGTATCGGAGCTCTGCCCTCACAGAAGCATCCAGGATGTAAAAATCTGACAAGAAGGTGCAAGGGTTTATTAAAAGTCTTTGCAAGGAACCCCAATCTGTCTCAGAGACACTCTCCATTTGCCCCTGGATGGTATTCCCTAGAAGGGAATGTCAAAAGGAGGTCAAGTGTTTTACCACACTGTGTGGGTGAAACGCATCAGGCAGTAAGAGGCAGAATACAAATACTTGGAGCAGCAGAAGCCCTGAAAGAGTTGTGCACTTTTCCTCTTCGAGGAGGCAATATCACCCCTGACTGTAAATAAAAATCACCTCCCCCTCATCTCCTCCTCCATATCTGCTCTCCCACCCTGAGTTCTCTTCCTTTCTAGCTTTCCTATTGACGAGGATTTTTTTAAACTTTCCTTATAAAACGCCAAGACTGACCTGCTTCAGTGCCTTCACAATGAAATGGAAGGCTATGATGACAAAATTACACCTTTTAGGAAGTTTGGAGAAAAAAACTTTGACAGTTAAAATGCAATTGCAGCTTGTTACTTAATTACCTGATACCTTCCCCACACTCCTTGACCAGATGTAGCTGGCAGGTGAGATACAATAGGAATACAGAATTGTGTAGATTGGGAAGGATGTATGAGGTCATAGAGTCCAACATTAACTGAGCAGTGCCAAGCCCATCACTAAACCATGTGCCACATAGACTTCTAGGGATGGTGACTCAACCACTTCTGTGCATAGGCTGTTCCAATATTTTACAATCCTTTTGGTGAATAAATCTGTCCCAATACCCAGTCTAAACCTTTCCTAGCACAGATTGAGGCTGACCTCTCCTCCTGTGACTTATTACTTGAAAGAAGAGATCAACACCCACTTGGCTTACACCTCCTTTCAGGTGATTATAGAGAGTGATAAGGTCACCCCAAGCCTCTTTTTCTTCAGGCCAAACACCCCCAGCTCCCTCAGCTGCTCCTCATCAGACTTGTGCCCCAGACCCTTCCCCAGCTCCACTGCCCTTCTCTGGAGTCTCTCCAGAACCTCCATGTCTTTCTTGCAGTGAGTGGCCCAGAACTGGAAGCAGTATTTGAGGTGTGGCCACACTGATACAGATTTACTACTTGCTCCCACTGCAGGTGATGTTCAGGGAAGGCCTGCTGTGGGTCCTCCTGCTGTTTCAAGGGTATGTGGCCAAGGAGCGCCGAGTAAAGCAGGTTTCTGCCTGGCTTCTCTCCTGCCAATTGCCAAGTGTATTTTTAGCAATGTGTTTCCCTGTGCCTGCCAGCTTCATTCTTCCTGAGCTCCTAATAAGTGCTGGCTGCTGCTCTGGGGCCATGGCTTGTGCTTCCAGGCTGATTCTGCTTGTCTGCTGGAGCCTGACTACAGGGAAATGCATCCCACTTCCTCAATGGCAGGTTGACAGCTTTTCAAGCACTTCTTAAACCTCATCTAGACAGAGTTCACCAGTGGGACAGCTTACACTGCTCCTGCCAGCAAGGAGAACCCGACGTGTTTCTTGCACCCTGGGTCATATCTCTCCTGGGCATTCATCTCCTTCTCAGTGAAGTCCTACTGCTTTCTGCAGGGCAGAGGAAGAAAGATATGCACCCTGCACCCATGTGAGGGCTATCAAGGGACTGCAAGAATGCCAGAACTTCTGTAATTCCTGCTGCCACTGCTGACAGGCAATCAGGCTGAGCTGGCAGGAATGGCATAGGAAAGGTAGGAAGGCTGTCTTTTCGAAAAGGTAGAAAAGACTGAGAGAAAGAAGATAAGAAAGTGAGAGACATAGAAGTGCCCCATCTTCTTCCCCACACTCTGGCCATCTGGAAGTTATGGGATCAGAAAACATCAGGGGAACAAAAGAGTTTGTTCATTACTCAAGTTTTGTTCTGCTAGTTTTGTGCTGCTGCAGCAAAGGTGACCTGAAGAAAAAAATGCTGAATCCTCTCTAAGAACCTGTGATCTTTATATTTGTGGCTTGTGTTTTTCTCATCAAAAGTCCCATATCTTTAGTGCTACGACACTGGTTTCTGCCCTGGGTACAGATATGTGTTAACTACATTTCTTGTAACATCCATCATGCACTGCTGCCAGCTCTGTTGTTTTTCACTGCAGTATAGATGTTCCCTGAGAGCTTATCAGGAAAGCACTTACTGCTTTTTCACTGCTTTCTGCTTGCTTGCATCAGCCCCCCCCTGTATAACATTCTTCCTTCAGTCTATTATCACTTGTGCAGGGAAGGCTGCTCTTACAATCTGAAAGATTTGGATTTGCTTCTATTTTACGATGTCATGGTTTGCTGGATGACAAGTCCTGCAAGTCCATGAGCAGGTTACTTGAGGTTGGACCAGAAGAGGGTTTCCCAGACGTCCCTTGCCTCATGATGAAGCTGCCATATTCAAAATGCAGGTATGCAGCACTAGTGCTCTGCCTAGAGCCCCTCCAGAATTCTTGGCCCTGGCTTACAGAAGCATATCCCTTAGCTGAAAATGTCTCAGTCTAGGATCAAATATCCCAACTCTCTGTTCAGATCTTGCATCTCCTTCTTTGAGCTCAGCCCTATTGAGAGGCAACATAACCTTTCCCAGCACTAACCTGCTGCAGTGCTGCAGAGCACAGATTGTTGAGAAATTGTGCTCTCTGCTTCCATGTCCCATAAGCACTGGAGCTGAGCATGGGCTTGGGAAGAGTGCAAATGTTATTCACAAACCATTTCACTCTCTGCTTTCAGCCTCTCCTTTGTGAATGGTAGTTACCAGCAGAACGGGTGGTGGCTGAACGTGCCCTCAGATAATAATTCTTTCTCTATGACTAAAGCTTTTGTGGAGTTTGTTTCCTTTCCCAGCTCTCACTATGATTGCTGTAATCTCACCTGTTTCACAGGCTGTTGTCACATATGGAGGAGCAGGCAAATCAAAGGGAATCAGCAGAGCTCCAGAAAACCTCAGGTAGTAATGGTGGAACTTCAAGTCACCTAAATTGTTAAGCAAAATAGGTCATGAAATCATGGAATCATGGAATACCTCAAGCTGGAAGGGACACACAAGGATCATCAAATCAAATTCCTGGAAAGAGGAGGGGAAAGAGGAGAAATTAATATAATTTGACATCTGCAACTGATTTCCATACACAAAAGTCAGGATCCAGATTCACATTCATGAGCAGGCTGCTGAGGGACAGATATTTGACCTCGAGTACTGTTTGAACACCCCATTGCTGAATATTAAACATAGATCTGTTTGTGGGTAGATGCAGATTTTCTGAGGCACTTGCTGGAAGCAGAGGAAGTTGCCAGAGCCACAAAGCCTCTGTGTTTCCATCCTTGAGGACATCTCTCCTTGAGGATGCCTCTCCTTGAGGATGCCTCTCCTTGAGGATGCCGGGTGAGTTAAGAGGAAAGGTCCTCCTGTAATGACCACTGGTTTGAGGAGTCCTACCCTGGTGACACCATGCTCTGTCCCTTCTCAGCTCAGGTGCCAGACTGCAATTTTTTCCTCTGTCCCCTTCCCTTTGTCTCTTGTTTTTGGCAGAAAACCCTGCAGCAATCAGGCTCGTTTGTTTTGGCAACACCACACAGAGTTTGCACAGAGCCTCCTTCCTGCCTGCCTCCTTGGTGTGGATTTTAAATCAGGTCATGATCCCCTTTCAAGGACAGACTGGTAGGGCAGGAGGTTATGACATGCTGCAATTATTCCACAGCTGAGTGTAGTTCATCCACAGAACAACCACAGCTTTTATAACCAGGCCTCTTTTCCATGATTTTTAACTGAACTCCTTCATTGGCAATGTTATGAAGATAATGACCTTTATGGGTTGATTTGAATTTTTTTTGCTTGCAGCAGGGAAGGGATTTGTTTTATTTTACTGTTCCTGTGTAATGCTGTAATGCATGGTAATTTATAAACACGTCAGTAGGGAAGTTTGTAGAAAAAAGGGTTATTTTTTAGAACCAT